ATATATGCAATTGTCTATGTGTTATTTTTCTACAATTCATTATATCCCCTTACCTGTAGTAACATCTATTTACAGTATCCATCTACTTGGACAGTGTAGCGTCTATAGCACAAAAAGATACGCAGATCTCGAACGCATGTCGTCCCACTGTCACCTAGTACGCCCTCTTCCTTCTATGGTGAATCCCCCATGGCGTATTGCGTCCAAGCACCCGGAGGCTGCTTGGAAAAATTGGTGTCGACTCCGGAGTTTATTTGTATTATTTGCGGTTGAGGAGAGGCAACGGTGGAGACGGGCATACATGGACAACAGGTCTTAAAGGATAGCAACCTTCGACTTTGAGAAACTGACAGCTGTACCATTTGGTACAGTAACATTGTTTCTCTCTGTAGTCGCCGTGCACTCGGGATTGCGCCAGAGATATCGCTTCCGAACGGCATTTCTGAGCGTTATCTAGGGAGAGGAGAGTGTCGTGAGCGTGGAGCGTCAGGTAGCTCAGTGGTTTAGAGCAGTCGCCCGGCAAGCGAAAGACCCGGATTCGAGTCCCAACCTAGCAAAATCACGCTCTCGATATTTTTCTCTCTGGAACGAAAAAGATACGCAAATCTCGAACGCACGGCGTCCCTCTGCCATCTAGTACGCCCTCCTTCTTCTATGGAGTACGCGTTCCTTTATCACTTCGTTTTCCAACGATTAAAGTGAGACCAATTTTTACTATTATATATGGATGGATTTGGTATTAAATATTCTACAATTTTGGTCCTTACAAAAACTTAGAAATTTTGCGGATAACGAGTTGAAGGGGGGAGAGGCAATAAAAAATTTGTCATTTGAGAAAAATGAAATACGCCGTTGCAAAGAGTATTAAATACTGTAAAACTTTTGTAGGAAACATTTTTTCATATACTTCATATCTTAGGAATTATTCAATAAAAATGAAAAAGTTAATTTTTTTTAAGGGGCTATTTTAACCTCTAGATTTTGAGATAAGCCGATATAAAAAATATAGGTCTCTTACTTTTTGATGTTCTACAACATATCCAAAGCGCATCAAAATCGATGAAGGACAGTTCCGTCATGTCCTTTGTTAGTGGTTTAGCTATTCTCGATTCTGTTCCGAAAGCGCGAGCACGCCGTCTGCAATTGCGCCCGGTCCATTTTGAATGCCGCTTCAATAGCGGCTTGGAGGGAGGCCACGTTGGGGTGTTTGGCTTTGTTAGTGACTACGCCCCATACGTAGTAGTTCAGAGGGTTCAGATCGGGACTATTCGGAGGCCAAAAATTTTTCGATTAAAACATCTCGACATTGTCCGAGAGCCAGTTCTGCACTAAGTGACTCGTATGGGCAGGTGCGCCGTCTTATTGGAAAATATACGGCCTTCCTGTAGCCACGCCCTCCATCCAAAGCTTCACTGTAATCCTCAGGATCTCCACATAAACCTCCTTCATGACCATTTCCCTCTTCTTAAAGAAATGCGGTGATCATCGCCCTCACTCGAGACGACGCTTAGGACGTGGACACTGACCAGAAACTTGGTCCTGGTCATTACGGGGACGTCCTCGGGGTCGTGAGCGAGTCAACGGTCATTCCTCCGGTTCACCTTGGCATCCACGGTGAAGATCTTCTCATCAGAGAAAAACCTGATGCGGTCAGCAGCTGTGTGCTTCAGTGAACACACGAGCAAGTTGCAGCAGGCGTGTCTCTTGGCCTTAGCGGCCTCGGAGAGCATCTGTCGGAGCCGAAGGATGTAGAACTTGTACCTGAGGTCCTCTTGAACGACCCGACGAACGGTGGTGTCACTCACTCCCAAGACGACCGCTAATTTTGCGAGTGAAGTTCCTGGGTCTTTCAAAATGAGGTCTTGTGCTTTTCGAGCGAGTTCCGGAGTCCGTGTCGCCTTTTCCCTTACGTGTATTTTCCTCGCCGGAGTACAGAAGCCCACCTTGGACTTCTCCGAGGCCGCGTACTTCTGGATAATGTCATACACCGTCGACCTGGAGTATCCGAAGAACTTAATTATTTCGCTTAGCATCCTTCCGGCGCGGACACCTTCAATAACCGCCGCTCTTCGGTTATATTCCGATGTTGACCTGAACAACTTGGCCATTTCGAGGTTATTAACATCTTACCCACGTCTCTGGCCTACCTTTATCCTATCTGGCACTTACTGTTGCATTCTAATATAGCAGGAATGTCAAATTCAAATTTGTCTGGATTTAAATGGCGGACCCTGTAGTTCTTCAACTGGATTTTGAAGTTATAATTTTCGATTTAAATGAAAGGTCATATGCGTATGCTTATTTCGATATATAGGTATGGGTATGCGTGCGTGTGTGTGATGTGTGCGCGCGCGCGCGTGTATGTGTATGTGTGTGTGTGTGTGTGTGTGCTAAAATGGCATGGCAGGTGGCAATAACATGTTTTGAACGAGAAATAAAGAGAAAATCTCAGATTTAAATCAACTAGAGCGACATGGCGGGTCTGAGCAAGTCGCCATTTTTAATTTACACAATTTTATGAATCGCATATGGTCCGTCAATATATCATTTAACACTTGGGTGCATTAGAGTTAGTATAAATATTCTTTTGAATAAATTTAATGACGTAATTATAGTGCAAAAAAATTTTTTCACGTTTTGGCCGCCATTTGGGCCCGCCATCTTAAATTTTTGAAAACAACAAATTTCTTCTAAAGGCTTATACATTTTTGCCACGATATTTTCACTTTTCAGATACTTTCTTGAGGAGTTTCCGATCGAAAATAATTAATTCAATGAAAGAAAAACGAAAATTTTTGAATTTTTCGGAAAAAAAGCTTTTACTTTTCTTGCATTACATTTTTGAATAATTTGCGTTGCGGCATCTGAAAGATGCCAAAAAGCATTAGGAATGACATTTGGGGGGGATAATTATGCATTTTAACGGAGCAACCTCCAATGACCTTGATCTTGACATATGTTATAAAGATCACTCTCCTGAGTAACCCGCAAAATGTTTTAGACGGCGTTCATTGTTTGTTAAAAAGTTAATAAAAAGTTTTATCAATTAAATGTAATTTTTGCACACAATGTATATAGAAATATGTTAAACAGTACACGTATATGCACGAGGGAGGGGTCCCGCCCCTCCCCAAAAACCTACTTTTAACTTAATTTATCAATAAAAAATTTTTTTTTATAAATTGAACATAATTTTTGCACACAATGTATATGGAAATACGGAAATATTTGCGTATCTCCTATAGTTTCTGAAATATTAATAAAAAAGGTGCCTGTCTCTAATCGTGTAACTGGTAGGCTACGCCCCTCAGAGCCCCCGCACCACGGTGTGGGGGAGACCCAGTCTTTTGTGCTTAAGTTCAAAATTATAAACAAAAGAAGTTTCGAAAATACGGTAGAGTTTGTTCGCACTATATAAAATGTATACCTTAGAAATGTCATGAAAAAAGATGTATTTTCTAAAGAGTGAGAATTTCTTACAAAAGACTGCATCCCCTTCCTGCTGCGGTGCGGGGCGCTACGCCCCCTAGTCATACGGTTAGGAATAGGCATCTTTTTTATTAATACGCGCATATATATGTTCTCTGCGTGTTTACAGGGTGTCTCACACTCTCTTTCTCACATTAAATAGGAATGTAGAACGGGTTGAGATCAACATAAAAGTCCTATACGTTTTGCGATATTTACAATAATAACCGAGAAATTAATTGTAAAAGATTAATTGTAAGGAGAAATGCACGCTGAATGGTTGAGGGAAGAGCGCTTGTATAATAATATAACAGGCAGATGTCAGTGCGCGTCTTATATCGATTTGATCCTACGTCTTGCCGCACCGCGTCGAGACGAAATGTAGGAGTGCAGCGATATAAGTATAGGAAATAGTGCGTTGTTTTTTCAATCACCGCGCGCCGACATCCATGCGCTAAATTATTAAGCCGCGAACGCTCCATCTTCAACTATTCAGCGTGCGTTTTTCCTTAGTCTTTTACAATTAATTTCTCGGTTATTATTGCGAATATCGCAAAACGGTATAGGACTTTTATGTTCACCTCAACCCGTTCTACATTCCCACTTAATATGAGAAAGAGAGTGTGGGATACCCTGTATATGTACACGCACCGGCGTTAATGCCGTCCGAATATCCGTGTGACTCGCACACGATAACGCGTCACTCATACACTGCTGCGTGTAGGTGAGCCATGAGCAGCACGGAGTGGCGGAGAGAGCTAGCGGTATACGATCGTCGGACGCTTGGAGAGGGAATAGTGGTGGGAGTCGCGGCGATCTTCCATCCTCTATCGCAAACGTAAGAACGAGAGAAATAGCATTATAAGACGTCTGGACAGAAATGCCGTCCTAAAATACGTGTGACACACACTAAGAAAACGCTTGACTCACACTGTCTCGTCTATACGTGAGCAATACGCGGTGTCCCGACGA